GGCAAGTGTGAGGCACTGGGTTCCATCCTCAGCACCACATAAAAATAAGTAAAAAGGTATTGTATCCATCTAGGAAAAAAGAAAAAAACCCTGGGTCTAATCCCTTCGACTGAACAAATTAGAAATTTTCAAATATATATATTCAAAAAATAAAAAGGAGAAAGCTCGGGGGTCACCTTGGAAAACGGAAGTTCCCCAGGGCCTGGAGGGTGGATGTGTGTGGGTGGGCGGAGCACAAAGCCGGGCTCTCTGCACCTGCAAGATACACCTGCCACCCTGCTCACACCTGGGAGGGGCCGGCTGAGCTCAGGCTGAGCAACCCTTGGAATCTCAGGTAGAGCACACCTTCCCCAGGTGGTCCCCAGGTGGTCCCCTGGCAGCTGCATGGTGGCGGGTTGCTGGGTGTGCCCCCTGCCTCTCAGACCACTTGCTTCTAGCTTCAGCCAGGGTTGGTAGAGCTGTTCCTCTGCCTGCCTGGCAGGAGGCTAAAAGTACCCGCTGGGTCTCCTCCCCTCTGTCATGGATGGCCGCCTTGCTCACTTCTAGAGAGCTCTGAACCACAGAGGATGAGCACTACTGCCAAGGAGGGGATGTGGAGATGGAGGCACATGCTTAGGACGCTCAAGGTCCCCGGTTTAAGCCTCAGTGAACACAAAAAAAGCCAACAAAAGCCAGGGATGGTGGCGCACACCTCTAATCCCAGCCACTAGGGAGGCTGAAGCAGGAGGATTGCAAATTGGAGGCCAGTTTTAGCAAGACATTGTCTCAAAATAAAAAATAAAAAGGGCTGGGGAGATAGCTCAGTGGTCCAGCACCCCTGGGTCCAATTCCTTTCAACTGAAAAAAATTAGAAATGTTCAAATGGAAAATTGTGGTCTCTTTTTCACTTTTTTTTTTTTCCATGTGGGGCTGGGGATAAAACCCAGAACCTCACATACGCTAGGCAAGCGCTCTACCACTGAGCCCCAGCCCATGTTTTTCACATTTTTAAAAAAATATATTAACACTTACCACATGTGTACAAATGATGGCAGAGCACGGATCCCAGGTACAGCCTAGTCCAACCACTACAGTCCTGAGCCCAGAGAAGCCCCTTTGCCCTTACACCTACCAGGTGAGGGTCACCTCAGCAGCCCTCCGGGCAGGCAGGCAGACAGGCACGTGCACACCTCCCAAGAGCAGCCCCTCTCCTGACTTCAACTGGCTTTTCTCACTTATCTTGAGATAGTGTTGCAGATAAAATAAGATGCCCAGTAAAATCTAATTTCAGATAAACAACAAAGGTTTTTAGCATAAGACTGCACAGAACATACACGGCTCTCTGAAATTTAAATTTAACTGGGCCTCCAGGTTTCTTTGCTAAATCTGGTGGCCTTGCTTAGAAATTGATTCCTATCAGCATTTAGAGCACAATCTAGAACCAGTCCCCTGTTGATGGGCAGTTAGCTTATTTCTCATCTTTTGCTTTTCAGAACAATACTCTGACCTCATCTACAATTTATCTGTAGGGTGTGTTCCTAAAACTTGCTTTTGTCCTGCCTGCATTCCTGAGGGATGCAGTTGGCAACCCCAGGCCCCTTCGGTCTCCCGGGAGAGCAGCACCCTCCCTTCCCCACCTTCCCACCTTGCTATCTCCTCTCTCTCCACCTCTGTCTCTCTCTCTCTCACTGTCCCTCCTTAGGTGTGTCCCTCTGTCTTTCTATCTCCCCAGACTCTCCCAGTCTCTCTCTCTCACCCTTCCTCTTTTTGACCCAGCAGCTCTACATACAAAATAGCCAGTCAAGCTGGCAAAGATGTGCGGTGTCTGCAGAGGTGTTCACACGTGGTCGATCACACGTCAAACTGGAAACGACCTAAATGCCCATTGAAAAATTAAGTGTGCTCCTTCCTTACAAGGAAGCATCAGGCTAAAATAATGTCTTAACACTGAATGATGCTGGCAGGTGACAGAGTGAAAGTCGGGGGCTACAGATGGGAGCTAAAGCATCAACCACTTTAAGTTCAACCAAAAAATATGGTGACCCAGAGATCTGTAAGAATTCTAATATTGGGCTGGGGATGTGGCTCAAGCGGTAGCGTGCTTGCCTGGCATGCATGTGGCCCGGGTTCGAATCTCAGCACCACATACAGGAATGTTGTGTCCGCCGAAAACTAAAAAATAAAAATATTGGGAAACTCTCTTTAAAAAAAAAAAAAATTCTAATATCGACTATAATGGTTTTTGTTTGCTTTTTGGTACTGGCATGGAACTCAGGGCCTTGAACACGCTAGGAAAGCACTTCGTCCCCCTCGGTAGATTGCCTAGGCTGGCGGTGAACTTGCCTTCTTCCTGCCTCAGCCTCCTGCATAGCTGGGATCACAGGTGTGCGCCACCACGGCCTCTGCTGAGGGGGTCTTGAAGGCTGTCAGGTGGAGAGGAGCGGATTCACTTTTGCTTGTATTTTTCTTTCCCTGTTGTTATTTTTTTTTAAGTTGCATTGCAGACTGGGCATAGTAGCACACACCCGTAACCACAGCTACTCTGGAGGCCAGGATAGGAGAACTGCAAGTTGGTGGCCAGCCTAGGTAACTTAGAGAGGCCCTGTCTCAAAATAAAAAATAAAAAGGGCTGGGAATGTAGCTCAGTGGTAGAGCGCCCCTGGGGTCCACCCCCAGTGTTGAAAAAAAAAGTTGCATTATAATTTTTGCATTGTAATTCTTTTTAAAAAAATATTTATTTTTTAGTTGTAGTTGGACACAACACCTTTATTTCACTTGTTCATTTCTGTATGTGGTGCTGTGGATCAAACCCAGGGTCTTGCACGAGCAAGGTGAGTGCTCTACTGCTGAGCCACAACCCCAGGCCACGCATTGTAATTCTTAACACTGTGCTTATTTGCTCTGTCATGCCCTAACTCCTTGTGTATGTGTATTTATTTACATATGCTATTTTTGGAAACATCTGGGTTGACCAGAGATGTCAGGACCTTTTACCCATGTAGGTATATTTATACCCTAAATATAGGGTATAAATACAAATCTGCCAAGAACAAGGTCATTCTCTACATAACTGGTAAAAGCATCAAAGTCAGGAAACCCAGCATTGATACGGTATAATACCATCGTCCACAATCAATTGTCCCAATAACATCCTATTTTTAATAGTTTTTAATTATAGATGGACACAATGTCTTTATTTTATTTATTTTTATGTGGTGCTGAGGATGGAACCCAGGGCTTCCCACGTGCCAGGCAAGCCCTTGGCCACTGAGCCTTAGCCCCAGCCCCCATAACATCCTTTCCAACCCAGAATCCAGGGCCCTTCTGTCACACCTCTCTAGTCCTCACAGAGCCTGACATCTTGGAGGAGTTCCGGCTGTTTTGCAGACTGACACTCTCGATTTGGACTTGCCTGACGTTTCCTTGAGACACCAGGTGTGTTTCCTTGCCAGGAACCACAGAAGTGCTGGAGAACATGCCATCAGCTCACACATGCTAGGCCAGTGCTCTGCCACTAAGCTACAGCCCCGGCCTTTTATTTTTTATCTTTGAGATAGAGTTTTGCTAAGTTGCTTAGGGCCTCACTGAATTGCTGAGGCTGGCCTTAAACTCGCAATCCTCCTGCCTCAGCCTCCAGTTAATGGGATTATAGGTGTGTGCCACCTTGCCCAGCCACAACTTGCCTTCTTGGGTGGGACTAGGCATTGAGAGGTCTCAGGAAGGGATGAGACAAACAATGGTGACATTGGTTGCTCATCTCTATTTATTTAGTGGTACTAGAAATGGAATCCAGGCCCAGGAATGCTAGGCAAGCGCTCCACCATACACTCCCACCCAGTAGCTCACATTTGTTACACACTGATTCTGTGTCAGGCTCTGTTCTAGTGCTTTCCATGGATTATTCTACTGGGTCCCTACAACACTATGAGAAAGACATTTTTGTAAAGTCTCATTTTACAGATGAGAACCCAAGAACAAAGAGATTAGAATAATCTAAATAAATAAATAAATAATCTAAATAAATAATAATTTGTCAGGTCACACCTACTGAATGCAGATACTGGGACAGGAGACCCCATGCAGTCTGTGCTGGAGGCTGCAGGTCTGAGCTCAGGACTGTACTAGAAGTCATTCACTTTCTGGCTCCAGGACTCCTTCCCTCTCTGGCCTCCACCCCCTTGGCCAAGCAACAGGAATGTGGTCAGCATCCCTCCTGCAGGGCTGGCTGAGATTGAGACCCGCTTTTCTGATATAACTTGAATGTTTGGATCACCTTTCAGGAGCCAGAGAAGGATCAAACAAAATTGTCAGGAACCAGGGATGAAGAGGATGAGCATCACCCTCACTCCTCTATTCCTGGCGCCCAGCTGAGCCTCACAGGGTAGGCAGCAGGCACAGTGGAAGGCCAGGAGATAAAAGGAGAGGAATAAAGGCAGGAGGGGAGGGCTGTGGCTGTGGCTGTGGCTCAGCAGTAGAGCACTCGACTAGCACGTGCAAGACCCTGGGTTCGATCCTTAGCACCACATAAAAATAAAGGTACTGTGTCCATCTACAACTTAAAAAAAATATATATATATTTTTTAAAAAAAGGCAGGAGGGGAGTGGGGCACAGTGAGGCACACCTGTAATGCCAGTGACGTGGGAGGCTCAGGCAGGAGGATCATAAACTCGAGGACAGCCTGGGTATCTCAGACTGTCTCCAAAAAGAAGAAAAAAAAAAAAAGGCTGGGGATGTAGCTCAGTGGTAGAGTACCCAAGATCAAGCTCCAGTACGGGGGTGGGGGAAAAGAAAAAGGGAAGTGGGGGGCAGGGACCTTATGGAGAACCTGGGTAGGCAGCCACCTTAGCCTGTCCAGGAGTCTGGCCTCCTCTGTCTTCCAAGTTCTGGTTTCATTTTGAGGACTTACTTCCTCAGAGAGATGCTGCCCCCTTCAGGCTCTCCTTACCACTGTCTGGCTCTCATTCTGGACGGAGCAATCACCATGGAAAGAAAATATCCGGTGGAAAATGTCCCCATGTAGTTCCATTTCGATTCTAGGAATATTTATTCAGTCTACTCAGAGGTAAGTATGGAAGGCCAAGGTGCACAAGTCAGGCACAGTCTTGTGCAGAGGAGCAAGACTGGGAGATGAGCAGGAGATGAGCAGGAGTGTGAGGACGGTCAGCCGGACAGACGCGCTGTGAGTGGTGGGACGCTGGGCTGCATGCAGGGGCGGGCGTGACTTCCTCACTCTTACTGTGCATCTGGGAAAAGCAGCAGCAGGACACTGAGGTGATGGGGAGAGGGAAAGGCACCGTGGAGAAAGGAGGAAAGGTCCAGATACTCCTCCGATCATGGTTTCTAGTTTCTTCATGAATTAGGAAGCGACTTATTGTTTACTAAATAGCTCCCATTTACTGATCCTGTACCATGAAGACTTACCAGTCTGCGATTAAATCTGAATGACGTGTGACCCCACAGTTCCAGCTGAGGGCTGGTTCGTAAGTGCTCCAGTACAATGCTGTGTGTTCCTGAACACAAGAAACTGGTCAGTTTTCCACTACGAAAAAATATTTTATTTTTGGCCAAACTGAATGTAAGCACTTTTTTTTTGGTACCGGGAATTGAACTCAGGGGCACTCGACCACTGAGTCACGTCCCCAGCCATACTTTGTATTTTATTTAGAGACAGGCTCTCAATGACTTGCTTAGTGCTTCGCCCTTGCTGAGGCTGGCTTTGATCTCGCCATCCTCCTGCCTCAGCCTCCTCAGTAGCTGGGATTACAGGTGTGTGCCACCGTGCCCAGCTAACTCTAAGCACTTTTATCATTGCAGATGACAATATTCAAATATGTACTTATTTTTGGTTATATATATTTATATATAAAAAATATTCAAGTATGTTTAATGTATTTATTTAAAATAAATGTACAAATTTACTAAGACATTTCAACGAAGTTCAATCCACAGGCATTTTAAAAAGAGATCTTTTAGTTATAGATGGACACATCTATTTATTTTTATGCGGTGAAGACTGAACAAATGCCTCACACATGCCAGTCAAGTGCTCTGCCACAACCCCAGCCCCCATGCATTGTGGACATCAGATTAACTGCCATCATCAGGTACTCTCTGTTACTTAACAGCATTTGAGGTACATCCTACTTCATTTCCTGAAGTTGCCTGAGGACTGGCACTTTCTGTACCTATGCATGACGCTAGAACTTGGAATCTCAGGCCTAGACAAAGCACGGGTCATAAACATGTCTCCCCCAGCTCTCCTCCTGCAGTCTTCCCCCAGCTCAGTGGGGATACCTCCACTGACCCATGCTCCCCTCTTGCTTTCACATTGCCTTCAATACCTAACCCAGATTTCACCACCACCACCACATGGATCCAGCCACCATCATCTGCTGATTCTTGCAGCAGCTACTCCTGGTCCCTGCTCCAAATGCAGCCAGGGGCCTAGGTCACTTAGAATCCTCCAATACTCCCATCTCACTGGGAGAAAAGCCAAGTCTGGGCAGTGGACTCTGCCATCTGTCTCCCACACCCCAACTTACTCTTCTCCCCACTCCGCCATGGCTCCTGGGCCTCCTCTGCTGCAGTGCCTCAAGTTAACACCTGTGCTCTGGACTTGTGCAGAATGCTCTCCCCCCATGTGGTCACTGGGATAGTGCCTCATTTCATTCTGGTCTCAGTGCAAATGTCACTTTCTTGACCTGTGCTGGTAATGGTAAGTGCTTTTATTGCTAGCATATAAAAGACCTCAAGGAAATGAAAGCCCAGTTCCCAACTTCCTGACCTGTAACCACAGTCCCGGACTGGACTGATGCTTAGGTAAAGGTGGTCTGCATGGGTGCAGGGCATGAAAGGACTCCAGGTGTCTTGGATAGCTTATTGCTGCAGTCCACTGCAAGATGGAATGAAACACAAGAGGGAGAAGTCAGGGTAGAGCGGGGACGATGGGCAGTTTGGGCCACATTATCATCATTATTTGCAGTGTTGGGGATTGGACCCAGGGACCCACATGCCAGGCAAGTGCTCTTGCTCTACCACCGAGTACACACACACACACCCTTTGACTGCAACAGGGTCTTGCTAAGTTGCTCAGGCTGGCCTCAAACTTGTGATTCTCCTACCTTAGCCTCCAGGGTAGCATGGCCATGTTAAAATCCTGGGGCAAGGGATGTGACATGAGGCTCTGGGTTCAATTCCCAGCACCACGAAATACATACACAAATGAATAACTAAATAAATTTAAGAGTCTCTGGGACCAGGATGGGGAAACAGGAGGCAGCACAGCAGCAGAGTGCCACAGAGCAGCACTATGGCCAGGGTTCCACACACTCTGCTCTCTGAATTCTAATATCCTTTAGAGGCAAATATCATTAGCCCCCTGTTCTGGAAGCAGCACTGGCTGGACGTCTGCTGGTGGCAGAGTGCAGCACTTAGAAGCACCCAGGACCTGAAATGTCAGCTTGCAGAAGGCTGCCCTTGAACACCCGCACTGCTGCTCCACCACACGTAGTGAAAGCTGTGTCTAAAGCCTTCTCTATGCAAAAATGTCATCTCTTGCCTTGCTGGAGCCTCTTAACTCTGAGAAGTGTGTGCTGTATCCATTTTAAAAAAGAGGACTGGCAGACCCCCGTGAAGCCCAGTTGGGGTCAGACCTATAACTGGAAACCAGGCTGGACTCAGGGACAGAAAATTCCCCCAGAATAGCAACCGTTTGGAGGTCCCCAGGTCCAGACTTCAGCCAATGGTATTCAATGAAAACAGGCACTACAGCTCACCAGCTGGATAAATTATGAAATTTATTTATATTTCACCTTTTAAAAGCCAGAACATAACAAATTTCACTTTCTGGAAAGTCATCTTATTAGAAATACACGAAGTGCACTTAATACAAGGAAATTAGTTTCTTGGTTCCACCAGTGAGATGTCCGTGCTCTTCTCAATCCCCTCCAATGAAGGGTTTAATCAAACTTCCCTCCAAGTTTCTACTGAGACAATCTCAATTCAGGGAGGTCTGAGTGAACTTTTCCCAGAAGTTACAGTAAAGAAGCTGACCTTAACATGTAGGTCCTCCCAAGTAATAACAAATCAGAAAAAAACTACATGGCCCAAAAAGGCCCCTGTCTTTGCTGGTTATTAGGCAACTGCAGTTAGCTCTTATGGTGGGTGGGAAGAGCTCACAGCAATAGGGTACAGGCCCAAAGCCATTTGCAACCTTGGCCACTGACCAGGAAAAAACTGCCATATTCAAACTGGAGATGTGTGACACAAAAGAATGAACCAAATCCATAAGCCTTTTGGTCCATCAGAGATTCTGCTCCTATACAGTAGCTGGCAGCTCTTATCTTGGAACTAATATTCATGAAACATGCTCAGCTTCAAGCTTCTCGAACAGCTACTGAACCACGTTCCCAGTACACAGCTTTTATTAACTTCTCGTCAGAGGGCGTGCTGTGCCTTGCAGTCAGTGTGTCTTGTAAGAGACAACAGGGTGCACCACAGCCTCTCTCAGAGTTGAAAGCCAGGGTTTTAAAACAGCAATTTGGATGGTGAAACAAGTGTCATAAAGAAACCATTTGTGACAGTAAAATAATGCTCAGTTTAATCTAAGTTACCAAGTAAAAGATAAAAGAACTAGTAGCCACCAGATCCCCCACACCTTTTTCCTTTTAATCATTTTATCTCCTTTTCATGCTTCAGGACAAGAATGTACACAAGCCCTCAAAGAGAAAGGTAAATGTGACCCAGTCATCTGAAAATACTTTGTTAGCTTGAAAACCAAAAAGCTATGGCCCTCCCGCTCTCTTAGCTGACTCCCTTCCCCACTTATGGAAAAATGCTGTTTAACTTTCCTAACCTAGAAACACCTCCACTAAAAATATATGGTTATACCTTATCCTAAAAAAAAAGGCACCATGCAGGCATTTAAGACTGAACCAGTTAATTCTAAGGGTTTGCAGGAGTGTAGCAAAATATCACTAATAAAATTTCCAGCATCAAATCATGCAAAACCCAGAATGTTCACCCCAAGAGGGTTCCTGAAATGTTTCCCAGGGTACAAGCTTCAGCTTCTAGCAGCCACTGCCCACCCCATGGACAGGCACTCCACCACTGAGGAGTGTCAGCCCTGGTCGGCTGCACTGTGGCTACAGCTCATAAACCTCAGGGCAAGGAAAGGAGACGCTTGTTTCATTGTGCTATTTGTGACCCAGAAAAGGTCCTGGCTGGCTCAAAGGATCTGAGACTTGAATACTGGATGGGAGGAACAGTGTGAAACAAGAACACATGGAGGTGAAGAAGCTGGATTTTCTTCCAGAAGAGGCAGCAGAAGCTCTAGGAATTAACTGAGGACCAATGCGACTCAACCAGGTGACAAAACAAGTTTAACAGTGGGGAAGATAGCTTTGGCGAGAGCCCAAAGGAAAAGAGGGCTCTGACCCGGGGACCCGTTCCCCCCATCAGAAGTGACCCTGTCCCAATGCCATGGCTCATTTCCAGGTCTGTTGTACAGTTAAGGTGTAGGAGTCAAAGGTTTCACACTTAACATGTAATGGAAGCTCTAGAACACGAGACGGAAAGCAAGGACTCTGCTCACTGGTCGATGATGGAGCGCTGCAACACCTGATTCATCATGTCCTCTTCATCAACATCGTAATCCTGAGGGCAAGAAACACACACTCAGCAACTGTCCACAGCTGCACAGACCCTCAGCAGGAGAACACCCCAGCAATAGGGTCTAGTGAGAGCTGCCAGGGACCCCAGCCCATCATCTGCATTAAATGGACAAATTACTTCATCTCTCAGTCTGTGCTGCCTCCTCCACTGGAGGCCTGGGCAGCACACAGAGCCTGCCACAGACAATAGTCAGCGCGCTCAGTTTAGCTCATGGATCCAGAAGGCAGACATATGCAGACTGAAGAGTCATTAGTCAGCACGGACCTCAGTGCCAAGGAAGGACAGGGGTTTCTGAGGGCCATAAGGTACAGCAGAAATACAGTAAAACGACTCTTCTTTAATGAGGCAAAATTATCTACTCGGGCATTTTTAGGAACTGTATCCATCATTACAGCACTAATGAAAAGGATACTTATCCTGAAGTCTGGAGTTTTAGACATTGTCAGACACAATACTTTTTTTCTGATACCAGGAATTGAACCCAGTCTCTTCCCTAACACTTTTTATTTTTAATTTTGATACAGGGTCTGGCTAAGCTGCTGAGGCTGGCCTTGAACTTGTCATCTTCCTGCCTCCAACTCCCCAGCATCTGGGATTACAGATAGGTACCACCATGCCCTGTGTATCCCCCCACATTGATCCCTGGGCACTCTACCCACTGAGCTGGCTTCTTTAAAAATTTAAGACAGGGTCTCACTAAATTTCCAAGGCTGCCCTTTAACTTTCGATCCTCTGCCTCAGTCTCTGAGTTGCTGAGATTACAGGGTTGTGTACCTCCACGCCTGGCAAGAATAAATCTATGTTTTTTACAGTGCTGGGGACAGGATACAGGGCCTCACACATGCTAGTTAAACAGTCTACCACTGAGCCACATTCCCAGTCCTGAGAATCAATATTCTTTTTGACAACCTAGGAAAGAATTTTTGTCATATCCTGAAATACAGCCATTAAGAGTAAACACTACTCTGCCAGGCATGATGGGACATACCTATAATCCCAGTGCCTCAGGAGGCTGAGGCAATAGGTTCAGAAATTATAGGATAGCCTTGGGAATTTAATGAGGCCTTTTCTTTTTTTTTTTGTAGTTGGACACAATATCTTTATTTATTTATTTTTATGTGGTGCTGAGGATCGAACCCAGGGCTTCGCATGTACTAGGCGAGCACTCTACCACTGAGCCACAACCCCAGCCCTAATGAGGCCTTTTCTTAAAATAAAAAAAGCTGGGGATGTAGCTCAGTGGTAGAGCACCCCTGGGTTCAATCCCCAAAAACACACACAGAAAGAGTAAACACTACTCTAAAATCCTAACTTGACACTGCAGCATTGCTTCAAATCCCAGGCCCAGTGCATGCTGGGCAAGTGATCTATCACTGAGCCACACCCGAGTCCTGGGCCTGCATTCCCACAACAACAATCAGCTGCACTAGGTGGCAGCATACCATGAGTCATGCCCTATCAGCTTACAAATTCTTTTGAGGGGCTGGGGATGTGGCTCAAGTGGTAGCGCGCTCGCCTGGCATGCGTGAGGCCCGGGTTCAATCCTCAGCACCACATACAAAACAAACATGTTGTATCCGCCGATAACTAAAAAATAAATATTAAAATTCTCTCTCTCTCTCTCCTCTCTCACTCTTTAAAAAAAAAAAAACAAATTCTTTTGAGGACCATTTCTATTCTTTGCCTGGTCCTCAGGCAGACACACAAAAAAAGAGCCTGAGGTTCCCAAACTAAGATGTGTAACAGGCAGAAATTATACCTACAAAAAGAAAGCTGGAGGGCCAAGCATGATGGTGAACACCTGTAATCCCAGTGGCTAGGGAGGCTGAGGCAGGAGGATCTTCAAAGATCAAAGCCAGCCTCAGCAATTTAGCAAAGCCCTAAGCAACATAGAGAGACCCTGTCTCAAAAAATAAAAAGGACCAGGAATGTAGATCAGTGGTAGAGAACCACCCCCCCACACTGGGTACAATATCCAGTCCCCCCAACCTCCCTAGAAAAAAGTGGGGCAAAATGGGGGCAGGGCAGGAGCAAGCTTCACTGTATCGTTCCAGTAACTGTCAAGATCATCTCAACAGCACTCCGATCACGTGGCTGCCATGCAAGGACCTGGGAGCTGTTGCATAGAGACAAGGCTGGATGACAGGCTCCCCTTCCTCTTCTCAGAGACAGCGAGAAGTTCTGCTGTCCCCTAGGAGAGAAATACGACTCACCACAAAAGTGTCATAGGAAAACTGGTGCCGGCGTTGGATGTGTTCTATGAAGTTGGCGCTGCGGTAGTTGGGGTCTCCCCAGGGCATTGAGGCACATATTGGACAGACCTTTCAACAAAGAAGCAAGATCTCAGGCA